TTCATGTAATATAGATTATCTCTTTTATGTCGTATGTCACGATTGGAAAAACAAAATCTTAGCACGGCTTCATCGGGGTCACGGTACAATGTACTGAGATCATGTTCAAGCAAATTTAATGCTCCAACTGTAAGGCAATCCTCCTTCGCCTTTTGGAGAGGTCATGTTTTAATCCTTTCCACTCACCTCGTCAAACCAAAATGAGTGGTATGCCATCCGAAATATATCAAGGGAGTTTTAAAAATCCAACTTTTATTTACTTCTACGACAAACGTACAGGACCCACCCGGTGGCCCCCGTAGACTTGTCGGACTGGGCCTCATCCACCCAATCTTGAGGCCCTTGAAGACCGACTAGCCGACTGGTTGGAGCTGTCCATTGGTTTGCCGGCCAGGCGGGCGGACAGGGCTCAGAAACTGGTAGACTGTGGATCAGCCGGTTCGAGGCTGCCAGTATTAACGTTGTTTTAATTGCCAAAACTGCCCCCAACCAGACGACGAGTCAAAGCAACCCGCACTCTTCATGCCTTTGTAGGCAACTCAGATTGCTTCTCTTTGTTCCTCTCGTTGGCGTCAGCCTCCTCTACTCCACTCCACTTCCCTTCACTCAGCTCTCCCACTCCACCAGCAGTTGATTTGACCAAAATTGACAGGCAGTCCAAGCCCAATAATTGAACTGGCTGTTCAGCATAATTATCCCGGAGTGTCCTGACGATGGCCGGAAACAAATGCCAAATGAGGTTGCAGGTAAGCCCAGTTGGAGTGCAAATAAAGGACAAGCCCATATCTTTCATCGTCTCATGCCATCCACGGATGACGAATCTTAGTGGAGCTAGCAAAGAAGAGGACAGTTTCGGTGAGCATCTAACAGACACAACCGCATTCTTGGCGCTGTCTACAGTTCTTTGGGGCATGTGCGAACATCTTCACCAGCACCTGGGGCCTCTATTAAGCCCCGCTTCAATATTCATTCATGTAATTCACAGCCGAATGATCCGACCTGGAATTCAATAAACTCAATAGTCTCACTGGAATTAGCAAATTTAATTGACTCATTTAAATCCAGGAAAATAGCTTTTTCAAGGAATATGTGGATTTAGAGAGAATGTGGTTATAAGAATATTCATAAGTCGTACTCATCATTCCAATGAAGCAGAATTTCAGCTTCGAACAGCTCAGACTAGAACTTAGCAGTAGCTTTAATGAGTAGAGGCAAGGACTTGCTAGTGGATCTTTCCAAGCTCAAATTTGTGATAATAATTGCATGGCAAAAATAAAGGTCAACTTTATAGAAAAGGCTAGATTTATTTACTAGAATAGTTTAGATAGTTTCCTGTCCCTTACAAGCCGGGTAACCATATAAGTCCTTAATAGAAATAATTATTGGATCCTTGGTTTATTAGTGCAGGTAGTAGAGATCCATATAATGAACCATATCAGAAAGGTTTAGGAATAGATACAGCATGTAGGGATGAGTAGATTAGGTTTATTGACTTGGTAGGTCTAACCAGTGAGGACAATGACACTCATTTCTGGTAATGAGTGTCCTTCGAAAGAGTGAAATATCAAAGCTCGGCCGGAGCGTAGGCAGGATCATAAGGTCGGGGTCTCCAGTGTCTTCTTCTTGTGGGGTCGACTTATAATTCCCTTCATTGCAAACTTTCACTTGAACTTGAAGTGAGCTCAACAATCATTGAACGTAAAAATGTAATGTTGAAAGTCCCCAAAATTGTTTTTTTTGCCACTTCGTATGCTCCATATAGTCTGAATGAGAGAGAAGAGTACAGGCAAAGAAGAGTTGGGAACTCTAGCCTCGAATGTGATAGACTTAATGAATGAATGGTCGAAGATGAGAAGTGAGCTAAGATGTAAACTAAAAAGCAAAATAAATTCAAGTCGGATCGGAATTCTGAATAAGAACTGTATTCACCCTAGTTCGCATAAGATAATGAAGGACTGATGGCTAAATTGTTATATTATGAAATGAGTAGGATTTAAGAAGTTATAATATTTTTAAAAAGTTTTGTCATTCAATCTGGACTGCGGTTTTGACTTCGCCTCACTGCCTGTCTTTCAGCAGCACATCCAACGGGACTATAATCCGGGGCACTCACTCAAAGGGTAGATAAGATTTTCATGGTAAGCCAGATAATCAGCATATCATATTTTTTATTGTGTGACTAATAAAAATGAATGCTTCATCATTGCAATTGGATTC